GCCAATGGGCCTATTTGCCAAGCTTTTATGGGTAATTCTTGCTTTTTTTGACTTTTCTGGATGCGCCACAGCTCCTAGAATTCGCCCGAGGAATCATCTGGCACATTGAAGCTTATGGGGTTAGTTTAAGCGGATAGGGAGGGACGGCACGCGGCGGCGCGGCAAGTGACTCCTCTTCTGAAGACTAAGACTTGGAAAAGGCGACCAGCGCCCGGGCTCCGGTCTCAAGGTGCAGAGGAGCAATTCTCGGGGCAACACTCACGGTGGTTAATTTTTCAGCGGAAAGAACGTGGCGATCATGGGCCATGAGGAAGCTGTGGGAGGAGAGAAAAGCCATGAAGCGCACACAATTGATCGCGTTAAAGGTAATACCTGTTTGAAATTGTTATGGATGGACAGTTATGAAGTGGCATATTCGTACAAAATTTTTACTTTCCGCATTTTATAGCTTCGTGGATACCCCAAGGTACAGTTTCTGTTCAAAGACGAGACAGAATCCCGGACGCAAACAGTGAAACATCGATCCGCATGGTCATTGCTTGCATGGGCTGTTATGGAAGACAAGGTATGTGTTTCGTGGTATTCTACAGTACTAGTGACTATTTAACCGAGTATTCTGCCTTATTTACCAATTACTGCCTCATTCTTCGGAACTCAAGTCAGAATCTTGTCGAATTCACCTTCAGGGTAAGATTGTTCGAGAGTTTGCTTCTAAAGGTAGGTTGCCCTCCTCTCGAACACGAACCTACGTCTTTGTAGTAAAGTGCGCGGAGTTTGCGCCACAGGGGCCAGCGCCCGTTTCTAGCGGTTTTACGCCAACATTCGTGTTCAGGGGTTCAAAACAGCTATGAGGGCACTTTCTCAACAAATTCGGTGTTTCAAGGTGTTTTGGCTTTGGCGAGTGTGGCCCACGCGTCAAGTTGCTTCAGATCACAAAGATGTCATGTTGTCTTTCGGTCCCAGACCCCAAAAAAAAAATTGTCCCCCCAAAATTCTAGCCAAAAGAAGGCACTGACCAAAAATTTTCTTCCGAGGATTAGCTTAGAATCTAACCAGAGTTTTGCAAGATTGTGGCAGTAACAGGGTGAGTAATGCGAAGTATTCCTTTTTAAGCAAAAAATATGGTCGACCGGTATACGATAGGCACAACGGGATATGGAGGTCACATATGGCGACAGGTGCAAAACTGTGAAGCTTCCTTTTCACGCCTTTAAGCGAGTTGAGTTTTATCAGAGGAAACAAACTTGAAAAGTATTCCTCAAAGGCATAAGGCACGATTATTTGATACTCGGCCTATAGTGGTGGCTGGGATGCTGAACAGTGGGGAAAATGGCGAAAAAGCAAAGCGAACTGGTAAAAAGCTGCCAAAAAAGTCTGCCTTTGTTTCGACAAGACTCAGAAAGCAATGCCGGAGGAGTTCAAGTTAACAATCGCGCACTAACGCCCCTAACAGTAGATACGGCTGCAGTGTCACTACAGGGGGGCCAAAAAAAACATTTTCCTCCTTAGACTTTCGAGGACGCTATAATTACCTCATTTAAATTTTTATGGGACACTTCCACCACCATATTAAAGAGCATATCAAATACTATCACGATGCTCCGCCACAGCCTTCTGGACGAGCGCCATTGAGAGATTCTGGCCCGCAACCGCGATGTGGTACCTGAGATCAGCGAGATAGTCGATTTCTCCGCCACCGTAGACCACCCTATTGAGCTCCGCCCGGACCGGGTTATTGAGTGGGTTTAGCTCAGGGGACCTGCTTAGATATTCCACCTTTACCAGGTACTCAACGTCCTTCCATTCCGAGTAGGCGAGAGTTTCTCCAACACCCTTCAATTCCATGTGGTGGCACCCAATGCTGTAGCAGTACAACCTTTCCAAGAAGGAACGGGCGACGACATGTGGGGAGGATATTCTTCTCGAGTTGCTCGATGTAACCGCCAGCGCTCACCTTCAGTCCGGGGTCAACGAAGAAAATATCGGTCTTTCCATTCCAAGTACCTCCGGTCCATACCATCAACCCGTGCCCTGGCGACTGTGGTGTAGATGATGTCCTAGACCGTAGCGACGTTGTCGAAGCTGGCCTCGACGACCCTGGGGGTCTTGCAGATCGAGAGTACTGGTCTCCGGGTAGCTCTCCATGGGTGACTTAATTCAAGAAGTTTCACAGCTGTTTAGAGGTGACGTGAATTCCGAAGGTCTTCACCAGTCAGGTTGCGACTGGAGATGACTTCATATTTTGGTGTACATGAAGGTGATGGGCGAGCGCCAGCTCCTGCTTATAGAGGAACATCTTGGGTATCCTCCGCCCTGGTACTCGTATCCACGTTCTCTGTCTGGGCTGCGAAAACTTTGCTGATATGTGACTCGGTCAGAATGTCTTTTTTTTTGCCCCCCCCCCTGTACTCACATTTCCACGCAGCACCAGCAGCGCGCTTCATATTAATTATACACGTCTGTGTGTACGTACGCTGTCTTTGAAGCGATACCGCAAAGAAGGAGCACTACAGTTCATACTCAAAATCCCTTGAGATGGGCGGTAGGCGTGACTGCGCTACGTGCTGCGTCTCGAACTGAACTCAGCGCTGGTCTGAGGTTTTCAGTTTGAGTATTTTCATTTGAGGACACTTGTAAATGTCATGTCACTATGTCATGTCATTGTTTCAAACATCAAGGAAGATTCGCACTCGTCTCAAAATCAAAATATCCCATAGCTAAACCCATCTAGCTGTGCTGCTCAAAATGCCACGCCTACTCCTTCTAAGAGATAAGGAGTGTAAGTACTGTGTTGAAGTCGGTTCGCAAAAGCACAGTATAAGCTGACTGCATGGGTGGAGTCCGGCCTACTATTGTGCTCTCCACATTGTTGTTCCCCTTCGTTCCGTATCAGGAGAAAGGGACATCTCAATGGTAATGGTGAGCCTGACTCCGCCCACAGAATCAGCGTTCAGTGTGCCTTTCCAAGCCTCTGAACAATCAACGAAAAACAAAACGCTTAATGAGGTTGCTGCATCTGGCAATCGCTCGAGCATTTTTTGAGAAATTCGGGGAGGTCTCAGAAATATCATCAACATGGACATAAGGTCAGCGCTGCGCAATGAAGAGCATTTCGTTTTCTGCGATCAAAACAATTATGCTGGGGGATGCTGAACGTCGATAAGCTGCAACCGGACCCTATTCCGTCGATAAACCGTCTTTTGGGGAGAGGAAAGGGGGGGGTCAAGACAATCGTAGCCGCAACGTCACAGGCCGCGGTCATAGTTCGCGGCCGTGTGAGATAGGCGTCGCTTTGAAACGTGTTTATAAGTATTTTGGGAGCAGATCTTGGGGAGCTTCTCAAACTGCATCACCACACCATCACCTCCACTCCCCTTTGCAGCAGGAAAGTATAGATATCTATCTGAGAAGCAGAAGCATCTTACAGCGTCTACCAGCATCCACCAGCGTCTGTCTGCGTCTCGAGGACTAGGAGAACTTAGCGGCTATTGATCAGTGTCTACCAGCGATTCACCAGAGATCAGGATTAGAAAGTTTAAGGAAGTAGAAGGGAGCAGGCAGCTGGAATAGGCGTCGTGAAGTTGCAACCGCATCTGCACAGTACTATTCCTATTTGCTGGATGGGACTCTGAGTGGACGTTAGAGCGCTAGTAAGCCGTGGTGGACGCAGATAGACGCTGGTGAACGCTGCCATTTGCTTCTATACTTTTCCAGTCGCTCCCATTGACGAACGCTCAAAACGCTGATGGTCTGATGGCCGGTGGTGGACCGTAGTTCGTACGCACCGGGGAGCTGCCGTGAGTATGGTGCCTCTTACTGTGCTAAAATGAATCAAGTCACGACGAAAGTCAGAACAAAACAGAAAAGTTCTCTCCTCATGGCAATGCTAGACGACATGAGCAGAAGCTGTAAGTTTTCTGCTCGGCAGTTCCACTCCGTTCGGCGTATTTACCTCTCATCGGTCCTCAGTTCTAAGTAATTATTTGCGGGGACAAACCCAAGCAATGCGAAGCGCACCTCGGAAAAAATCTGGGAAACTTCTTCACCTCCCATTGGATTACATCCTCGAACAATTCAATCGCACGATAAGTGAACGACAGTAATCGAAAACTAACGCGCGCTTACTGTTTGAGTGATCTACTCTCTTTTTTGTTGTGAAAATTCAATTGACATTCTCTTTGGCAAAATTGTCAGGAGCTTATCCCCAGTCTAGTAGTTTCAACTTTACTGATTTCTGTCATGAAAATATACAAGGTAAGTTGTTCCACTAGGTGCCCGTGGATTCTGAGAAGGAAAAGATCCGTCGCATCCAGGATTATGGTGGCATAGTAACGAAGGTGAGCGCATTAAACATTTCAGTGTTCGTTTCTGATGATGATAGTTTCCAATAATAGAGTGACATTTCTCGGAGACACAAATACGCTCGACGAAAAGCATACAGTAAGAATGGATTCTTCATCAATCAATACGGGAACGCTCAGGAAGCTGAAGAATTTCACGACAGTGAGTCAAAGTCATCCCGCTCGTTTTCATAGGCGACTTCCGACTAAAAGCCAGCGGGGACGATAGTTAGGCTAAGGCAGCGTTCAGACTTCGCGACTGCAGCGCTTCAGTCGCGCGATTCGACGATCGATGCGCATGCTTTCGACTGCATCGATCGCGTCGAACGCGCGACCGAAGCGCTGCCGTCGCGAAGTCTGAACGCTGCCTAAGCATTTAGGGCTAATACTTCCTTAAAAAGGGGAAGCCTGTTCTCCTAACAGGCTTCGCGTGACGAGCATTGTAGCGATTGGCGCGCTCAATGGGACATAGAGAGGCCCAGTGACCTATCCCTCTACGTCGAACCGTTCAGCTGCATTCATATTATATTTTGGCAGCATCCACCAGCGTCTACTAGCGTCCACCAGCGACCGTCAGAGTTTCGAGCGTCCATCAGCGTAAGCGACTAGGAAATATAGATATTGATCTAGCCAACGGCAGCCCCTACCAGTGTCCGCCAGCGACCATCAGCGTCTCGAGGGACTAGGAAAAAAATGGATATTGACCTGTCGTCTACGAGCATTCAGCGTCGGGCGCTGGCCCCTCAGTACTACACAATACCGTACTCCTGCACGCTGGTGGTCGCTTTCGGACGCTGGTAGACGCTGCCATTTGCAAAATCGGTATCTACACCTTCCTAGTCGCTGATGGACGCTCAAAGCACTCATGATCGCTGGTGGACGCTGCTGTTCGCTAGTGGACGCTGCAAAGTATGAACGCAGCCTCACAAATGGAAGATTACTAATTAGTAGGAGTGCACGCCATGTTCCCCATGAACAGGTTCCTTGTCTCCGGTTTGTCTTTTAGAGGGCGGACAACACAGCACTCAAATTAACGTGGAAGGGGTCCTCATCGTTTAAAACGGGTCTCACTAAGCGCAAAATATGGAAAGTTTCCATGCATTTCAGGTGGCAATTTCCCCCTTGAGAGCACCAACATTCTACACGAAGTTCTGCTGCAAATGGACGAAGATTACTCGCTGACCAAAAAAATTCCAGATTATTTCGTACATGCTGCTGATACAGGTACTCTATAAGCTATGATATAATAAAAGCATATTGAACACTGGTCGTGAGCCAGAATTGCGCCTAACATTTATCATTAGTGCGCAATGAGACGAGCGCGATGGCAGGCCTGACTCCGCCCACAAGCTCAGCTCAAAAAAGCGTGCCTTTGAATCTACAACCTGCAGAAGTATGGGTACGTTCAGGAGGCACAATCACTTCGATTGGACGCTATGCAAAACGATACGGTTTGAACACTACTATCCTTCTTTCTGACTCTGAATATTCAGTTTATTACGACTACGTGATATGGAACAGGTGCGTGTTTGAGCAGCTTCAGTGGGTATGCGACAAAACAATCGTAGTGTGCCGCGCTGAACGTGGCGAGCGACGCCGCGCGCGCTAGAGACGAGTTTTCCCAGCCGGCACTTTGAAAATTTGCCGCGCAGCTAGAATAAGCCGGAAATATCCAACTAAACAAGGCCTTCTTTTGCCGTCGCATGTGCACACGGTGAGGAAACATCGCGCGCTCCGACTCAGATGACAAAGGACGAGATTGCACAGGGACCACTGAGCCTTACGTGCGGCAACTAAAGTAAATGTTAGCAACTCTAAATGCAGTTCCCGCGCTCAGCCAATTCGTCGGCGTCCTTCTTTGTTCAGATGGTCTGCTCCACAATCTCTAGGATTGTCCAGCTTACGCGGCTCTACAGTAAGTAACGGAGACGCTGTGGTCTTCATTAGTGGCAGTGCTGACGCCTCGCTAGTTGTACCGCCCACCAGGACTCGAGGCTATTTTCTGTCATGACCTTAATTTTAACACCGTGTTTTTCGTGTTTTTTTTTCCACAGATAGATGGTGCTAGTATTGAATCATGTCAAGAAACGATTAGTGAGCAGATTCAGCAGGATGTCGCTTGGCCGGTATAAAACGTGCAGGTGCGGAGAACACGCGCAGTTAGGCTGTCTGGGGTTCCACTGGTGTTCTCAATGATTTTCTTCTGCTTTCTGTCTCCCTGGAGAGCACTGAGCAACGGCGCAGTATGCCGACGAGGGGGGGGAGGGGCATTTTGCACTTTCGTTGCTTCACTAGTTCTGGTTTACAAGTCTCACTCTGGTAAAACCTGTGAAGCTCTTGTGAAGCTCGTCAAGCCATCATGGTAAAACCTGTCAACTCGAGAAGAGGCTGTCTAGATGGGTCGACACGTCGATGGGAAGTCGTTAAAGTGCAAAATGCCCCCCGTCGACAAACAGCGCCCTGAGCGACTATCGGTTTACAGGCGCTGAAG